TCCTGAAAATATCTCCCACATCAACATTCCAATGCTATATACATCTGATTCTTTTGTATTTTTGCTTGTTTTTCGAAGAACTTCAGGTGCAATATATGATATAATTCCATATATTTTGTTTGATGATTCATCTTCAACTGGCCCACATAATCCCAAATCTGTGATAAAACAAGCATTGATTTGTACTAGAATATTACCACTGTGTAAATCACAATGCATTAAATCTTGCTGATGTATATCATCTAATGAAAAACATAAATGCATAAATATTGCAATTTTATTTTTTAAAGTTAAATGTGAATGATTTATTTGCAAATAATTTCTTAAATTTCCTTCTGGAATATAATTTAGAACCATTGCATAGTTGTTATTTTCTGGGAATTTAGTTATACCATAACAGGAAACAATCCTTCCAGATTTAATTTTACAATAATTTAATGCCTGAAAGATTGTATGAAATCAATTAATATAATGTTTAATATAATGTTTTTTTAAATTAAAATAATTTACTACTGACCTCATCAAAAAATTTTTTTCCCAATTCATTTGAATTATTTAGTAGTTTTAATGCTACACCTTGAGATCCATGATAAATAAATTCTTTTTTACTTTCATCATAGTCAAATATAGGCCCTTTTTTCCATGAGGCAATATAAATGCTACCAAAACCTCCCTTAGTTAAATATTTCACTTCTTCAAATTGATCAAATGGGATCCATTCCATAATTTTCGTAGGAAGAGATGAGAGCTTTTGACATTCTTGAATAAAATTATCAATGATGCTGTTTCCAGATGACCATGTATCAAAAAGCTTCTGTAAATGTAAACAAATACAGTTTTCACAAAATCTGTCTGAATATTTGCCTAATTTGCACTTGTTACATTCTTTTAATTCACCCCATTTATAAGTTGCATTATCTAATTCAAAAGCATAAATGTAATTTTCTTTACAATATTCCTTTTCATTTTCTGAAAGTTTTTCATTTTCAGTTACTAATGATAAAAATGTAGCCTTATGAATTTCCCTTACAGATGTGTTTGATGAAGTATTATCATAAATATCATTTGCAATTGATGCAGAATTATGATGTAATTCACTATAAGTTCTATGCACAAAATTTCTTCTGTCAAATGATATTGATGACAATAAATTTTGAAATGACATTTTTTTTGAATTATTATAAAAAAAATTTAAATCAAAATCCCTTTTATGGAAGTTCACAAATTATTTTTATTATGTAGGACAAAATACAAAAATAAACACAATGCACAATTCTTCTAAAAAACTTATGATCAAGCCTTTGGTATATACAGCAGCTGTCATGGATCTTGGTCTACCATTATTCTCAATTTGTCATATTTTAAGTTCTTGTAGAGTTATAGACTTTATTTCTCTCCAATCAAAGTTCCATTCAAACCCTCATAATCCTTATCCTTTGAGGATGACACTAAAGCTCCTTCTTTAACTTAGGTTTCAAAAATAATAAAAATTTGATTACTGAAAAAAAAATTTTCTTCTGATGTAATAACTCTTTCCAGATCGGATTGTTTAACCATCTAAAACTATACCAAATAATATCATAATGATGTTTTGTTTACACAATTAATGGTCGCGCAACTCTTTCCAGATTGTTGAATTAATTAACACCATAATAATAATGATGATGATTTCTGATTGTTGTGTTTGCATAACAACAATTCTTTCCAATCATTTGACCATGTTAAAACTGATTAATCATATTTTTCTGATAATATTTTCTGATTAATGGTTAGATTTGTTTGGTCATGATCTCTTAATTGATTAATTAATACCAAATGCAAAGTTGATCACCTTGTTATATCATTGTAATAATCTATTCTTGGCAAAACCGCCACAGTAAATTCCAGGTTTGTTAAAGATCGTAATAACGCTACCCCAATAATTATTATCTCTGCAGATTTGCTCTTTTCTTTATAAGGATTCTTTAGTCTTTTCCCTAAAAGGCAATTACCGCCATAGATGTTTTCTTCTTATCTTCCTTTGGAATCGTTCAAAACAATACAAATTTAGAGACTATATGCTAAAAATTACCAATGCATGACGATAAACTCCTCCATATCAGAAGTTGCAAACTACTTTGATCAATTGTTTTTATTTAGCAATTCCGTTGAGTTTAACAGAATTCATTTGAGATTTCAGCCCAGGATAAATTTGTGAAATAGTAATTCTAATAACATCAGCTCTAGAAACCTGAATAGATGAGACTCTGATCTGAAATAAAAAGTTTGATGATAATGTCATACTCTGTAAATCATTGACTGGCATATCATCGCTATCCAAATGACCATATAAACTATCTATCTTTAATATAAAAGTAAAATAGATCAGAATTTTGCAAAGCAAAGGACATTTTAAATAAATCCACGTTCACTTACAAGTTAGAATAGATTTTATATAAACGGCTATACAATTATAAACTTGCGTGCTCTTTTAAGTAATACTTATACATTTTAGTTCTTTTGCCGTACAATAAAGATTTCTTGTTGTTTTGATACAAATATTTTTTTAAAAATATATATATACTAAATTATTCGTAGATCAATTCAAAATTTTTTTGCACGTGTTTATTTTTGAGTGAGTTTGTGTTAGCCAATAACATCAAGTTTGTGCAGAAAACAAAAGTCATTTTATAATTATTATCAAGCTCACAACTGAGAACACAATGCGAGCTTTTGCTTTTCGTGTTACAAATCATGCACACCATGATACGCAAGAACAAAAATTCTTTTATTTTAAGTTGGGTTTGGGATTGCATCTTCTTTGTCGCAAAGAGCAAAAAAATGTCATCACTCGGGCCAAGACAGTAGTATATTTATTAAATCCAAAACATATAAATAAGACAGCCGTCCCCACTTTTTTTTTTGAAAAACTTGAGTATTTTCATGTAACAAAATCGAATCTTAATCTTGTTTGCTATTTGTTGCTATAATAATAATGCTTTTTCATGGATCATATATTACAAATGTAACCAATCAAATGAATTAACGAATTTTATCTCTTTTTTTTTAAATTGTTTCCTTCAAATAAAATAAACAATAAAAAATTAACAAAAGAGAGAGGTCATGTCACAAAGGGTCAATACACCCAGCATGAGCCACCAGCAAGAGTTCCATTCTCTCACTTGCTGGACTTTAATGACACATTTAAGTGATTCACCATTGCATGTCTTACCCCGAGACGAGTGCTAGTAATGGAAAAATGAGCCATATATTTCATGTTGTACATGGGATATATACAGTTTACAACATTTTGTTGGACAAATTCTATTCATTGAATAATTATTCAATAGTTTGTATAGGCGCAATCAAAGTAAGTGTTAAATACAAGATCAAGAAGTTTGCAAATCAAGATTTGCAAATGAACGTTTTATCAATTATTCAATATTTTGTATAGGAGTGATTGAAATGAGTGTTAAAGGCAAGATCTGTGAAATTGTTTACAAAATAAATGAATGTTTTATCAATTATTCAAATATAGGCGGGTTTAAGGTTTCTTGTCGAAACCTCTTAGTGACTGTTGAAACTCTATCGAATCTCTAATGAACAATTAGTATATACCTTGTCAAAACTCTGACTATTGACAAAACCCCTAAATGCGAAACTCTGCCGTAACTCTAATATACAGTTAATGTATAACCTACCGAAACTCTGTTGATTGATTTCTGGAGAAGTTTCGCCCACAACCTTAGTTGGTTGACAACTTACAATTGTTGAACTTTTAATTAAAAACCAATGCAAAACATGTTTTATTATCAATTTTTACAACAATTAGTTTAAAAGCTAATTGTTAAGTAATTTCCGGCCAATTAAAAAAAAAATTGTAATTTTGGTTTTTTTATCCGATAATCCTTCATCAAAAACATAGATAATAATAATAATTAGGTATATGTTAGTGTTGGATTCCAAAATTAGAGACGTGCGAAAGTCAAAAGGTTACGCCATAAGTCGAAACTAGTTTTGATTTTTGACTATTGACTTTTGGTTTAGTTTTGAAATATAACTTTTAATTTTAGTTTTGACTTTCGCCTCTTCAAAATAGTTTTGGCAACCAACACTAGTGGGGATAAAAAAAAAACAACAACTTCAAGAAGCACAATTATTTTTAAAACAATAACATCAATTATAAATAGACGACTACAAATAAGTGGTGTTAGACAAAAAAAAAATAAACAAAAATCTGTTGCTGCTTCTAGTAATTCAATGTTAGAAATCAAAACATCAGATGGAAATTCATTAATTTTTTTAGATCCTGAAGAACCACATGGTTCAATTCTTGATGTTATCCAAGCAAATAATACAAGATGAAATAGTACTTTGTATTGCTTTGAACGTTTAATTTATTTAAAAAATGCAATTAAAACACTCATGACAACATTATCAAATGAATCAAATTATGCCAATGTAAGGCGATGAGGTGCACATTTATTAGAATTATATCTGGATGCAGATGAGTGGGAATTAATCTCACAATTGGTTAAAATCTTATATCCTTATGAAGTAGCAACAAAAGTAGTGTGTGCATCTAATTATTGCACTGCGGATTTGGTGTATCCTACAATATACGAATTAATCAAAAAGTCACATGAAATTTTAAATATGATTCAGAATCCTGAAGCAGAAAAAGTTGGAAAAATTATATTAAAGGATTCAGAAATGAGGTGGTCTTCACCTAACAATGCTCTTGTTTTTGCATCATTTTTTGATTTAAGATTCAAAAATTTGAGTAGTTATCAAAAAGTGAGTTTTCTTTAAATTTATAAATTTAAAAATTCTTTGTTGTATTTACTTTTAATTTATTATTAATATATGCTTTAATAGAACTTAAAATCATATATGAAGAAATAAAATATTCTACTACATCATCACCCAATTTTACACAGCCTGTACAAGCAATTAATAAAAATTCTACAATGGCCTCCTTTTTTTCAGTATCAACTAGAGAAATAGCCGAATTAGACAGAGATGAATTTGAATCATATAATAACATACCTCAAGTGCTTCCTGTGGAAGAAAATGAATCATTAAAATGGTGGTGTGATAATGAAAAAAAATTCACAATACTTGCTATTTTAGCCAAAAAACATTTGGCAATTCCTTCTTCATCAGTTGACTTTTCTCTGATGCAGGGCAACAAATTACTTTGTTACGAAATAGACTTAGCTCACAATCTGTTGACCATATTCTTTTTTTGAAACGGAACAAAAAATTTGTTGATAATTTTTTACCCGTCAAAGAATAATAAAAAATAAAACTTTAAAATTTATGTTGTTAAATAAAACGGAATTTACTGATGTGACATCTAATCGTGATTTGGACATGTGACCTAAATTCTTTCATTTTATTAATACTGTAATATGTAAAGTTGTTAACTCATAAGCATAAAACAAATAAAGCTACTAATACTACTATTTGCAATGTAAAAATCGATTACGATTAACATCTCTACTGTCTGTCAATACATATAAATTTGAAAAAAATCATATTAAACAAAAAAAATAGCGTTGCTGCGCTAGACAAGGTTCTTATTAATCAAAATTATTTTCAATTTTCTTTGTAGCTATTTTGCTTCCAAAGTTATTAAACGTTAAGTTAAAAAACATATTTATGTGATACAAAACCCTTACTAATTATTTGATTTCCCCTATGTTTGTGATTATACTTACAGTATACCCAATCAATTATGAGAAAGCATTATTATTATAGCAACAAGTAGCAAACAACAACAATGAAATCATCATTTTTTTGAGGATGATAATTAAGATTAAGATTCAATTTTGTTTCGTGAAAATATTCAAGTTTTACAAAAAAAAAAAAAAATGGGGGGATGGCTGTCCTATTTATATGTTTTGAATTTAATAAAATAGACTATTGTCTTGGCTGAATGATGTCATTTTTTTGCTTTTTGCGACAAAGAAGATGAAATCCAAACCCAACTTAAAATAATTGAATTTTTGTTCTCGCGTAGCAAAAGCTTGCATTGCGTCCTCATTTTTAAGCTTGTTATCATATGAACCAAAATTGTGTGTAAAATCATTATTTCAATAATCCTTTTTTTAAAGCGGATTAATTGAATACATTGTGTTTATTATTTTTATGAGCTTTTGATTCAACATTGTGCTCTTATTAGTAGTTACACCTGCTACTACCCCTTCCAAGTTTGATGCCGCATTATATCTCAGACTAATGACAACAATAAAAAGTAATAAAATAGAAGTGGGTAGACGAATGGACAAGGATATGAAAAGGCATGTATTTTAATTGCACAAAAATTAATATGAATATCGTATTCTCTGGAATATAAGCACCACCATTTTGACGTGTTTTGGTCAACAAAATTGTGGGTGTGCTTATATTCAAAACATTTTATTTCAGATAATTTGTTACATTTATATTTCCTATTATTAGGCAAAATGATGGGGATGAAATGATGATTCAGCTGTTGAATTAGAAGAATTAGAAGAGGAGGAGTTGGTGATTCTGGAAAAGAATAGCCAAAATAAAAAAATTTCTTATTTTTTATTTATTATATAAAATTAAAATCAAATTAAAAATAATTCGAAATATATATATTTATTTTCTATTTTTTTTTTTTGTTTTTTCATTGCAAATTCATACTGGTGCTTATATTTGAGTGGTGCTTATATTCCAGAGAATGAGGTATGCATTTTTTTTTTAAAAAAAGAAAAAAATCTAAAGCTCTATTTATTATTTTAACATATTATTTTATTACAGTCTCCTAATTATATTATCACCAATTGTAATTCCACGATATTTAATAACAAACCTTTTGTCAACGATTTGTTGACAAAAAAACTCTGTAAAATCGAGCAAAAACGGAGAAGTTCCAGGTGTGTTAATTAGGATTTCACTTCTTAAATATTCGCTCACATCGAAATGACCGATAGTGAATTCATAATCGTTGGGGTCTTTTGATATAAACCCTCTATCAAAATGCATAACGCTTCTACAAATTGTTGGTGTAGCCTGGAGGAAATATGCTGTTCCTATAACTTCTTGTTCAGCTTGAGCAGGTAAAGACCACCAATACTCAACTTCATCAAAAGGCTCAATTTCATCTTCTATAAGTATCTCAGATGAAGAAGCGATAGTAATAAAAACGGACAACACAAAAGTAGCCAATAAAGATGTTGTTTTCATTGTGATTGTGTTGTTATGAAAAATTTATAAAATTCGGTTTGATTTTCGTGATTTTACAAAAGATCTCTCTACAGAGGTTGATATTTTTTTTTTAATCTTGAAGGTTATTTGTTATTTTATTAAAGCGAATAACTTGACCCGAGTAAAAGGAAAATTTATTGTCTTTATATACTAGTTGGGACCGGTCCTGTGGCTAAATCATTACATGACCTTCCTAATTTGGAAATTCTAATTGGTGGCTTCTATGATTTTGTTAACCATGTGTAATTATTAACTCATAATGATGTTTTAGGTAACCTTTGGTCAATTATGGCTGAGATTTGGTTGACTTTTGAGCAACGTTCATCGATTAATTGCAGGCTTTTTATACTCAATTTTTTCAATTAATTTATTTTGCAAATTTATTTAACAACTATTACTATCCTGATGCTTCTTTTCCATCTATAAAGAAAAATATACAGGAGAGTTTGTATAAGATGGTCCTGTACATTCCATCTATAAATATTCTGTCTATACATGGGATGGTAATTATCTAATTACCATAAATATGTAATTTATAAATATTGTAAATAATTACCACTTTCCATCTTTAAAAACGTAAGCACGGAATTAAAATTTATGGGCAAATTAATTATGGGAAATATCATTTTCAATGTTATTCTACTATACATCGGATGGTAATTACCTAATTACCATAAATATGTAATTCGTAATTATCACAATTAATTACTATTTCCCTCTTTAAAAACGCGATTACAAAATTAATTACTATTACAGGCGACTAATTATGAGTGACGAAATTAATTACAGTTGGCAAAATTATGTTTGGTGGAATTAATTACGAATAACGACGAAATGTCATAATACAGAATAAATGTATTTGACATTAAAGAAACTGAAGGTTTTCTATACAACCCGTTGTTAATACTACACTGGTTAACCAATGTCAAAACCTTTGTTTTATACCAAAGCAAATAAACAAAAACTCAGAGTTCTATGCCACTCTGATAACTAAATGGACAATTAAGCCCTACTATTTAATTTCCAACTACAAAAATGTTTTTATAAGTGAAATAAAGAATTTATTTATTTGTTATTATTTGTGAATTATTTTTAAAGTGAATTAGGTTAATAAATAAATATTTCTGCCTTATTTATTAGCAACGCTCTGAAATATTAATTGATTACCTGTTATTTTTTTCGCTTAGTCAAAAGTGACTTATTTTTGTAATGATTTTTTAGGATTAATTAAATAAAACGTTCTATCAGAAAGTTTGACCAATATTATTGCTTCCTTTGAGCTAGCCGCTTTTCGTCCTCACAATATCAATATGTAATTTTCTTATATTTAAAGAACATCATTTTTAGGATAATAAAATAAATAAAATAACAACTTGTATTTTTAAAGTGCCTGTTTGTAGAAAACATGTTTTATTTTAAGCAATTTTGCATACATGCGCCCTATTTTGCTTATAAAATTACTCATGGAGACAATATCTTTGATTTTTTTTATTTCAGAGACGAGATATTGTTTATTGTTTGAAATTGAAAAATTTTAAAATTTTATGTTAGTATTTCTATTTAATGCTTTATAAAATGTAAAAAAGCATACTTATTTTTTTTAATATAAAACATTAAACTTATGAATTATAATTGATTTCTTCTACAATGAATAATTTCGTCACGCGTAATTAATTTTCGTAATTACATATTACGTATTACGTTTTTGGCACAACAATTGCCATCCCATGTATAATTCTGTCTATAAAGGGAAAATATACAGGAATTTTTGTATATTCTGTACAAGACGGTTTCGTCATTTCAAGAGTCATTCTTGTGAAGGTTAAGTATAATAATATTAAATTTTGAAGCATTCGTTTTATTGTAAGAATAATACAATTTTACTTTTATTTCTTAGACAGTATCATTTTACATCTCCTTTTTCATCTCCTATTAAGAATTTTCCACTCATGACTTCTTCACAATTTGTTAAATAAAGAATCATTGATAGTGATGATGGCATGACTTTGTTAAAACATTATTCATCACGCACATGAATTTAGCAAGGGTTCGCACAGATCATAGAAGCCACAAAATCGGTACTTCCAAATTAGGATATTTAGCCACAGGACCAGCCCTATATATAGGATTTTCCTTAATTGGAAAATATTTATATTATTATTTAATTCGTGTAGCAAATCAAAATTTCCTGTTTTTTACGAAAAGACCTGAATATTAATTAAATGGTTTTTACTCCTAGAAAAAAAAAATGAGCAGGATTTTATAACCTATAATTTCTTCATTTCACAAAATAACTATAGAGTTTATTTAATTACGCTGAAAGTTTATCAGGGCTGGCTGCGTAACTCAAATGAGTACTTGGATAAACTGGCTAAACTATTTAGTCATATGTTAACCCCCTTTACGCCACCAGCCCTGAAGTTTATTCGAATAAAACAAATAATTCGAATAAACAAATAATAATAATAATAATAATAATAATAATAATAATAATAATAATAATTCGAATAAAACAAATGATTCGAATAAAACAAATGATTCGAATAAACAAACAATAATAATTCGAATAATAATAGAATTTGTATGGGAGTTTTTGAATAGAAATGAACCATGTTTTGAAATGACATTTTGAGAAATAACTGCATTTTATTTAAAATCCCACGGGCATATAAAACTTCAAAATTTCCTTTTCGGGTCACAGTTCAATTTCCTTTATTTATACATTGTGCATCCACTAATATGCATTAAAATGGAAGAAGCACTTGACATAATAATCACGATACATGAATGAACACCTCTATTTCTTAATAAGATATTTTGTTTTATTTTTAAGACCAAAATGAAATAACATTATTCCGACCATCAAGGGAAAAATTATTATAATTTGAACTACTGATTTATTAGAGTAATATGCTATATACTAATTGGAAATGGCATTCTTAATCTTAGATGGGATAATTGGGCAATTAAAAAAATACACATATTGTTATAACTTTGGAAGTTATATAAAGCTCTTGCCAAAGTTTTCTTCGACCTTCAATGAAAAGATTTGCACAAAATTAACTCCTTATTTTTTAGAATTCCAAATATCATGGTTTTGTTTTATTTAGATAAACGGTTCATTGACCATTTGGTTTAGAAAAAAATACTGTTGCAGAGAAAGTGAGTTGAAAATATCAAACCATATTTACATAATAAAAACATAATTTTATTGGCATATTCCCCATATAAAATCCCTGATTGTGTGTATGCATTTAATTATTGCAATTTATAAATATTCTAAAGAAATCACCGCATGCAGACAATTTCGAAGGTCAGCCAGTCTTTTAACTTGGGGAGATAAATATATATCCCCCGAAACAAAAAGGGATTGGCACAAAAAATTTGTAATTAATATTAATTAACGTTGAAAGGGTTTTTTGTTTCGCTGTAATTCATCCCTATGACACTTAAAATAAATTCAAGTAGAATTTAATATCTTATCGATACTTACTTAAATTACGCTTAAATATTTCCATTTTAAGTATATATTTTTAAAATTAATGCAGTGCTTTATTGTTGTTATTGTTGTTTATTATTATCAAATAAACAAATATTCATATACAAGGAAGAAATTACATGAATTTATTCTATTTATGATTGATTAGCATTTAGGTCATTAATTTAGCAGATGTCCTTTCCATTTACTAATTAAATCGCGATTTAACTTGTGTTAGGCATGGATCCCTTGAAATGGTATTACTGTGTTACTTGTTTGTATTTTGTTATGTTGTTGTGTTTATTTTTGAAATAAGCTTATTGTTATCTTCAGCAGTAGGTTTGATGATTGTATTAATAATATTTTGACGTTGTTTTCAAGTAGTAACGATAGTTTATGTTATTGTATCATAAATTAATTTATTATTTAATGACTTATTTTATTTTAATATTAAAGAGGTAGAGAGTATAATACATAACACAATTGTCAAAGTAAAATGTTACGTTTCTTGCCACGATTTTCATCTCAAAATTTTTTTTAATTATTATATCAATTGGTAGCTTCATGTTTATGGTTGCCAAAATTCCTCCGGAAATCAATCGGCAGAGTTTCCATAGATTGTTTATTGTTTATTGTTTATTATTATTAGAGTTTCGGAAGGTTACACACTAATTGTTTGTTAGCAAAGTTTCTGCAGTTATTAAAGGTTTCGACAAGCAACCTTATTCATGTAAGTTTTACCCATCCATGTATTGCAATTCCAACTGAGAAACAAAAATTTGTGAAAACCTGATGTATATATACAGTACGTCAAAACATCTTCTGGAACAGGCTCCATTCAATTTATGGTAACTAAGGATAGATTCATGGATATCGTGGCCAGAAAAATATTCTTTATAATAATAAATATAAACAACAAATAAATTCATTCATGATTCATAGAGATAAATTAATTATAAATTTTTCTCTCCAAGCACCTCCTTATAATTAAAACCATTAATTTTTATATAATTTATAAAAATAATAAAAAAAAAATAATAAAATTCATTATTCTGTATATTTAGTGTTTTCTCGTGTTTCAATTTAAATTATGGCTTTTTAAAAACTTGGATGCAGTGTACTTTTATTATATAGAATCTGATTAAATAATTTTTATTATTATAAAATTATTTGATGTTGGAAATTTACACATATTAAAGCTCAAATATTAAAATGTTCATCTCCCTCATGTACATATCCCTATAAAAAATTTGGTATGGAAATGTATGGAAACTGTACGGAATTTTACCTGAAATTTGCATTTTTCCGTACCAAATTTTTTATAGGGCATAAGGTTGATCTGACTGACTCTCCAAGGATATTCTGTTGCAATTAAATTTAGGTGATGCAAGGCTTTGGGATTTTGGTTGTCAAGGGGATAAACATTAAAGAAAGCATTCATCCTTCGTCAAAAAGAGGTAATCCATCCATCTTTACAAATGAAAAGAACTTAGAACCATGT